AGAGAGAGAGAGAGAGAGAGAGAGAGAGAGAGAGAGAGAGAGAGAGGGAGAGAGAGAGGGAGGAGATTGAGAACATGGTGGCCGAGCCCAAAGGACAGATGCTAAACCAGAGGCGCGGAAGAGCGATGGGGGCATCTCACTTAAAAAAATAACCGCGACTGAGCAAGGACTCATAACTGAGAGACGAGAACAGTCCTCACCATCCCCAGAAAAGACAGTCTCAGAGGAAGAAGGGGAAAGCCACGGTGACAGGGTGGCTTTTACCTCCTTCCGGAGTAAAAGTCACTTCTACCATTATCTTTGCCTTAGATAAGTGGTGGAGACAGAGACAGAAAAGGGGAGGCTGAGGAGGAGTGAAAGGGGAAGACGGCGTGAGGGGAAAGGGGGAAACGGGGGGACAGAGAGAGGAGACGTTAAGGAAACTTTTTCAGGGCACCTCACTGGCAGGTATGCCTGTGTGTGCTTTGAGTCGTTGGAGGTTGTAGGGTGTCGTTTGCGGACCAGACAAGCCAGATCTCAACGGAAGAGCATTTTTATGAATTTCTGGGAAAATGTCTAAAGATAACGACAAAAGACACCTGGTTCTTCCCACCTAACTTGTAAATACTCCCTTTAATACCTAGCGTCTGCCAAAATTGCAAAGTGTTTAGAGCCCGCACAACTCCGCTCGGCCCTTCGGGAACACAACTGGAACTGTTCTCCCCTGCTCCACACCCTTCCCTGGCGCCGCAGAGCTCCCAACGAAGCAAATTGAGCGTCTATAGGGAACTCCATCTCCCATCGGTCTCTTCTCTGGATGCCTACACTTCCCATCATGCATCACAGGTCCCACTCCTTGGATTGTTCCCTGCTCCGCCTCCGATTTTGGCTCTTGCCTTACGTCACGGGCTCCCAGTCTTCGCCTCATATCCTCGTCCTGACTACCGCGAGAGGGCGTGGCCCTGCACGATCGCGACGCCCGTTGGCTGTCGCATCGCAGGTGGGGCGTAGCCACGGGAGCCGGGCGGGCACATTTCGAAACGCGGTTGGGCGGCGGCGACTGAAGATGCAGCCGGCCGGCTTGGCGGCGGCGGCGACGCCCCGGCAGCGTAAGTGGCGTACGTGGCCGATCGAGGGGAACTGGCGGACGCGGGTGTGGCGGGGCCCCCGCAGCGGTTAGCGAGATCGCTGCAGGTCGGAGGTCATGAGGTCAGGGATCTGAAAATTCGAGGTGTGCGCCCCGCTGGGATGCCAGGGCCGGGTAGGGGAAGCATTGGGATCGAGTCTTCTTTAGGACATCCCTTTGGAAGAAAACAACTTCGGGCAGGATATTGTGTGATGTGCAGAAAAATACGACTTTCATTGATTACCTTTCAGCCGGCCCCACCCTTCCGTGGCTTCGGGCTGTCTCCCACTCTCCTCAGGACGGAGGTCCTATCCTTGCGTGAGCGCTGAGGGCCATGCTTACCCCACATTTAAAATTTGAACTTGTATTTATTGTAGGGCAAGCCCCCTTTCCGTCTCTGTAAATTTGTCTCTCAAGTTATTCCTCATTTCTGAGTGTGCATGCTTCTCACTTATTCACTGCTCCCCTTGTGCCAGGCCCTTTGCTGGAAGTCGGGTGCCCGCTAGTATAGCACTGGCCCTTGTTAATGTACAGCCCAGAATTCAGTGGGATGACAGACATTAAAGTTGGAAGCAAACAAGTAAGCAAGATAATCTGAAGAGTAACGAGGGCCCTAAAGGGAATAAACTCAGGGCTGAGGAGGCCTTTCTGTTGAGGGAAAAGATGTTCATACCTCCGTCCATTAGCAAGGTGCCTGGCTGGCCCTGTGGTGGGTGACAATGGAGATACAGCAGTGCCCAGCCAGCCCCAGTTCCTGTCCAATATAGAGCAGAAGACAGTAACAGTCTAGAATGATGGTGCTCTGATGAGAGGCACAGGCAGAGGGATCAGGGCCAAGATGCTGTGACCCAACCTGGGGGTGTCAGTGAAACTTCCTGGAAGAGGGGCATTTAATGATGAGGAATTAGCCAGAAGTAGGGGATTTGTGGTGAGAGGTAAAAGATTTGGAGGCCTATGCCAAGTAAACAAGTAGACGAATATATATTTAGCAATCGAGGTTAGCGCTTAGAAGGGAAAAAGGAACCATTTGATATGAGAAAGAACAAGGGGGGGATAGTGCTTTACACTGAGGAGTAAGGTCTTAGAGAAGGAAATATTTGTGCTGGGGCCTGAGTGCTATACTGACAGTGTTAATCGAGGGAAGGTGTTCCAAGGTGATAGCATGGCATGTCCAAGAGCCTGTGGGGGCTAGGAGCTTGGCAGGGTCAGAAGACTGTTAGGACTGGGTGCAGTGAAGGTGGGAGAGGTAGCAAACAAGGGTGGGTGGCAGGGCTGGGTCATGCAGGGCCTCGTAGGCATTTGGGTTTTATTCTCAGCACAGTGGACACTGATCTTAGGCAGAGGACATGAAATGGTTTTTTTGCATTTAAAAAGATCACCCTAGTTGCCGACTGGAGAGAGGCTTGATGGGGCTAAGAATGGACTGAGGGACCTGGAAGGAGGGCATTAAGTCAGGTGCGAGATGACAGTGTCTGAGAAGGGAGGGTAACAGTGAGACATATTGGGGGGGGTGAACTAGAGATTGGTTAGTTGGATGTCAGACAGAAGGAATCAAGGATTTGGACACTGAGGCAGGCAGGGGAAGCAAGATGTCATCAGAAAGGGGCCAGACCTGGGTCTGGAGCCAGGAGACAAGTGGTGGCTAGAGACAGAGCCCCGAGCCCAAGGCCAGTGTGCTGTGACAGCTGTGGCTTTGGGGCAGGTGGCCCTAGGTGAGAGGCAAAAGTCAGGGTAAGGGTGGAAAACTGGGTCTCACACTTGAGGGAGGTGGAAATGAGTCACTGATCAAGAGGGACTGATTGGGGAGCATTAGCTCCTTGAAGGCAGGAGTTTTTGTCTTTTTGATCATTGCCGTATCCACCACGCCTGCAGCAGAGCCTAACGCACAGAGGTGCTCGGTGGGTGTTTGCGGGGGCTCAGACAAGGAAGCGAGAAGTAGGGATGGTGTCTCAGAAGCCAGGAGAGCAGAGCTGGAGGTCGGTTATTTGAGACAATGGCATCAAACACTGCTGAAGGCTTGAGTCAGAGAAGATGGATGAGGCCTGGGCCTGCTAATGCAGAGGGGCATTTGGGAGACCAATGGGAGCAGAACCCAAATGCCAAGGGCTGAGGGGGTAACAGGGAAGCCTTGCACCAAAGTTTTCAGAAGTGGGAGATGAAGGAGGGACAGGTGTCCAGCCTTGGGGACAAGTGGGCCAGAAGCAGTGCTGCTTGCTTTGGGATTGAGGAACCTGGGTCTGTTTTCAGTCAGTAAATGATTGAGAGGAAGTGCTGAGTTGCTAGTAACTGATAGCGGTGACAGGAATGACTATTTTCAGTGCCAGGCCAAGGGCTGAGCAATTGATGAGCATCAGTTTGCCTTGGGCCGTTAACTCCCCATCTCCAGGGGAGAGAATTGAGGTGCAGAGAAAGGACGCAGATTCTTTGATTCCTCTCCCCACTGCCATTGTAACCTCCCACTGTTCCCTGTGCCCGCAGTGGTGCCCTGCATACAGGAGGAGCTCAATAAATACCTGCTGCGGCGGCTTTGCTTGTGGGATAGGAGCAGGGGCCGTGGAGCCAGAGTGCTGGGTTCAAATGCGCCCTCTCCATCACCATCCTCTCCTTCTTCCTCACCCTACCCCAACTAAGGCTGCCTCCAGCAAGCCCTGTCCCTCCTACTTCCAACATCCAGAAGCAGCCCACCTCCTCCCCCCAGTGCCCCATCCTCCATCCCCATCTCCCATCTGGACAGCGCAGCAGCTTCCTCCCTCCCCTCCTCTCCCTGTCCTTGTCCCCTAAGCTGTTCCCCTCATGAAGCCAGAGGGGCCTTTTATAAACTAGAAATCTGGCTCTGCCTCACACTATCTGTATGACCTTGGGCAAGGGACCAAACCTCTGTGGGGTTCACTTTTCCCATCTGTAAAAGGGGGTGATAATAGCACCACCACAAATGAGGTCATCGTGAGGATTAAATGTGTTAATCCATAGTGCTTAGAACATGGCCTGGTGTACGTAAGTGCTCAGTTGGGGTTAATTATGTAATACTTATCAGGCCAAAGTGAACTGGACTCCTGCTCTGCCACTGTTTGGTCCTGTGCACAAGGCATTTAGCCTGTCTGGGCCTCAGTTACCACATCTGTAAAATGGAGAGACTCATTTATTCATTGATCAGGTTTTTATTTATCAAGTACCTCTTCCAGCCCTGTTGTAGGGGCTAGGGATTCACCCGTGGACAAGACAAAGGTCCCCACGTTTTAGTGGGGAGACAGAGAGTGAACAAAATAAAACAGTCCATCAGCTGTGCTGAGTTCTGTGGGTATAAATGAAGCAGGGAAGGGGGATGAGGAGTGCCACCAAGGGAGATGCAGTTGTGGACAGAATGACTAGGGTCGGGGAAAGGTCCCACTGAGCCAAGACTTTGAGGAAGGGAGGGAGCCACCTCTGTCTGGGGGAAGAGCATTCAGACAGAGGAAGAGCCAGTGCAGAGGCCCTGATGTGGGAGTGTGCCTGGTGTGTTCCGTGAGCAGTGAGGCCTAAGGAGCTGGAGCTGAGGGAGGGAGGTGGGGGCATGAAGGGAGATACTCAGAGAGGCTTGTTTGTCGAAGGCTTACTACAGGACTGTGGACAGTAGCTCCCAATACAGAGCAGCTACCAGTCATCACCATTGTAGTTACCATTACTCGGATGGATGGCAGGCAGAGCCCGCTCACACTGGACTAGATGCCCATCGGACATCACAACCGTGCTGCAGGGCGGCCAGAGTGGGCAGGCGAGCACCTGCAGAATGAATGAGGCCCCTCACCTCGCCCCCTACAGCCTCGAAGCGGAGGATCCCTGTGTCCCAGCCGGGCATGGCTGACCCCCACCAGCTTTTCGATGACACAAGTTCAGCCCAAAGCAGGGGCTACGGGGCCCAGCGGACACCCAGCGGCCTGGGCTACCCTGCAGCCTCGCCCCAGGCAGCCTTCCTGGATGATCCTGTGTCCAGTATGGCCATGGCCTATGGGAGCAGCCTGGCTGCACAGGGCAAGGAGCTGGTGGATAAGAATGTGAGTGGGCTGGGCTGGTGGGAGTGGGAGGAGGACGGGGGCCATGGGGCCAGGGCTTTAGGCTTGAGCTCTGCCTCCCCAGATTGATCGCTTCATCCCTGTCACGAAGCTCAAGTATTATTTTGCCGTGGACACCATGTATGTGGGCAAAAAGCTGGGCCTGCTCTTCTTCCCCTACCTGCACCAGGTCAGCACTGCCCCCACCGAGGGGAATGTGGTCTGAGGTGGGAGACAGCCTCTGGGCGGGGCCTGGAGCAAGTGTGGGGGCAGCTCACATAGATTCTCCCCAAGACAGGGCCTGGGAGCAGGGTGGGAGGAACCCAGTTCTGGGGTTTCTGTTTGCTCCCCATGCTGTCCCCACAGGACTGGGAGGTGCAGTACCAGCAGGACATGCCAGTGGCCCCCCGCTTTGATGTCAACGCTCCTGACCTCTACATTCCAGGTTTCACCCTCCTCCCTCTGGGTGGGCATGTCTAGGGCAGAGGTTTTGGTGCCAGAGGCCCAGGATGGCCCTTGCTCTGACCAGAGTCTGTCTGCTTCCCACAGCTATGGCTTTCATCACCTACATCTTGGTGGCTGGCCTGGCACTAGGGACCCAGGATAGGTAAGAGAGGCCTGGAGTAGGCAGAGAAGGATGGAGCATGGGGGGCAGAGGGGCAGTAGGAAGGTCTTTTGGACCCCCTCTCACAGCCCGCTGTGCTCCCAGTTGGTCCAAGACAGAGCCCTTGGTGTCCCCCTCAGTGGCCCCCTGACCTCTCTCCTCTTTCCCATCCACATGTAGCCTATCGCAACAGCCCGTGTTGGGTAACTCTGTTCTTCCCCTGGGCCTCCAGGACCAGATCCAGCCTCATCCTCAGTTCCCTGCCCCGACAGACCCCTGCAGCAGCCAGGATGGTCTTTTCTGATGCAGCCTGGCCATGGCCCCCCTGCTCAGAAGGCTCTTCTGTCCCTAGACCAAGCCCCAGCTCCTTAGTATGACATTGCCCTCCATGCAGCCTCTCTCTGCCCAATGTCCCGTCCTCTTTCCATCCTCCAGAGGGCCTGGCACTGCTGCCCCAGGGCCTTTGCACCTCTAGTTCTCTTTGCTCAGGAGTGTGTTCCTCTCCTGCATCATCACTTGCTGAGTTTCTGCTCAGTTATACATCTCTGCTCTGTTGTCATTCCCTCAGAAAAGCCTTCCCCCCCACCCAGGCTGGGTTGGGTCAGACCCCCATCTTGCTTTTAGGCCTCTGTTCATTCCTTTATGGCACTGAAAACAGTTGTCATTGGAATTATAATCTATTAATTTTTG